GGTTAGCTAAAGGAAACCATCAGAAGCAGCAGGTGTTCTTCAAACTGCTAACGTGAATTGTCTATGCCATGCTACAATGTGGGATTCAGAAAAAGATGCTGAAACGTCAGAAAGGTCGGACACAGGCGAGAGCGTATCGGGAGATGGAGACAAACAACAAGACCTCCCTCATCCTTGGCCCTATCTCAGAGGATTTATAGAAATAGTCGTAAAATTGAGCTTTTAAAGGTTACTTAATACTCTTATACTTCAAGTAGTTTTTGGAGCACGTACTTTTTCACTTTTACTTGAGTAAAGAGGTCAAGTTGATACTTCTACTTTTACCAAAGTGTTTTTGTTTTTTTACAGTGTTCTGTCTGGCAATGTGGCAATAAGAATAATTGTCTTGATGCCAAAAAGAGCTCAACAGATTTTACTTTCACAAGTGGAGCAGTATGGCAATTGACATATTGCTCCACTTATTTCATGCATATAAATTTGTTATATAAATTTATTATAATTATGCAGCGAGTTTTACAGTTTATATGGACACTGCAATGTAAATAGAGCAGAAAAACAGAAGAAGAAAAAGGAAAAGAGAAAAGATGAAAGAAAGAAGAGATAGAAAGGAGTCAATGACAAAACATTTTCAGTCTGCTTCATCATCTGTAATGAGATGAAAAAAGAACAGCACAACTGAAAGACACGGTACGAGATATACAATAAAGCAACACCTTGAAACTATCGCTAAAGTAATATTATTTAGTCTGACATGTACTGTACCAAAGTGTTTTTTAATGGCAGTATTTATACTTCTACTTATGAAACAAATGTGTGACACCACTGCCCCCTTCTTAAATGACCTCAGGCTATATATGCTTCCAAAAAAAGAAAAAAATTTCCCCAATCCCCATTCTTTTTTACAACTAGACTATTGCTTAGAGATGCCTAATATCTCAGGGTCTTTATTTCCATCCCTGAAGCGCCCAGTCAGACTGGAATAGTTAGAAGTTGCTTTATGCTGCTGTAAAAGGTGTCGGTGTCCTTTTATTTATATATATATATATATATCTATATCTATATATATAGATATATATATAGATATATATATATATAGAGATAGATATATATTTGCATTTTTCATGTTGAAATTCTTACTGTTGTTTTTAGGTAGACAATTTTAAGATCTGTCTAGGGACCACAGATGAAAAATAGCCTTTTGGCTAATTCTGCTGCATTTGCAGGAATGCTTATTAATGTACACTGTCAATTAAATAAATAATAAATCTGAATCAATGTGTTCTTAGTTTATTAGGATCTCTGCTTGTAGCTGTTTTTATATGATTTTATACTTTAACTTGGATCGGTGTGATGAGCAGGGCTCCACTTTGAAACCATGACTTAATGTGGTTTCTGCACCCACAGCTAAGCAGCCTGCCTTTGCCAGAAGTGCTCAGTTAAAAAAACAGGGATGAGGCCCCACTTTTTACGCCATTCGCCTTTTACAGGCTGAAAATAAACAGGCACTATTCCTGCCTTTTCATTAAAAATAATTCTGATGGGGCTATTTGATACTATTTATTTTTATTCTGCATGATCTTTTATTCATTTATGTTTCATTCATGTTTATTTTTGTATTTGCTTTCGTTTTAAGAGTATTGTAGATTTTAAAAAAAGTTTATATATTTTTTTAAAGCACTGTGATTTACTTCTCTACTTTCTTACTGAAAAGTTTGCACCAATAGGGTGATTTCCTGCGAAAAGTTCACATATCGTCAAACAACAACCATCTGAAAGAGGATTTATCTCTCAGGTCATAAGTGGGATTATTTATAATTTCTTTGACAAATTACATGTAGGTCACCTGCTTTAAATTGCTTCTTAGGCAGAAATTAAATTTTTCCTCCACTGGTTGACTTTCTTTTAATGGTTTTGAAGATGGGTAGAAGGTAGAAGAGACACATCAGCAGATATGCAGAAATACTTGCATGTTATTTTAATTTCCTTTGTGCACCTCTACTGCCCCCCCCTGCAGGCATGCACACCAGCATCAGCGAGATCCTGAGGGAGAAGAGCCTGAAGCCGTCTCGCCGCAGCCTGCCCTGCCTGGCTCAGAGTCAGACACATCCCATCAACCTCAACCACTTCCTGTCTGTGCCTCTGAGCCCAGATCCCAAACCAGAAGTGGACGACCTGAGTCAGAGCATCAGCACGTCCTGCAGCCTTCTGCCGCCACAGTCAGGCAAGTCTAAAGATTATCTGACCCAGTTCAGCGGTTTGCATAGAAGGGATTTCATATCACAAAGTGTTTGTTTTTTTTCTTCACCTTTTTTTTCCTCCATTAAATGAATCAACACTGCTCATGTCTGGACTTTCACTTATTTAGTTTTATTGCCTGAATTTATCTTTTCACGTTAAATCAATTCAATTCAGCTTCTATATAGAAACACATTCACAAAACGTCATCTCAGGTCACTTTCCAGTTCAACCAGATCATCCAGTCAGATTGATTCAAAGTTTTCTAT